ATTATGTATTAAGTAGTTGATAAAAATGTTGTGACCAGAGGTTTGCAGACACCTAACTCTGTATTTCCTCTAGGAATGATAGCTCAGTATTTGTTAATTCAATGTTTGCAGTGACTTTATAGAATAAAATTACCACAAATAATGAGAATCAACTGCAATAATATTGGGACAGTGAAGGTATGGAAAAACATGTGTCTCTTGGGGGGGGGGGGTGCACATACACGTACAGGGACAGGAAGAGAGAGATGACATGGAGGATAAAGGGACATGACTTCCTCTTTTCCACAGAGGGAGATGACAGATCAAGTCCCCAAATGAAAAAATGCAGATAGTGTCACATTAGACACTTAGAGATATGGAGCTAAAGCCCAAGAGATTCAGACAAGAGGTGAGAGCCATTCCAGGTAGAAAAGGAAAAATGTGGATGAAAGGTGCCACATGAGGTAGAGGGCTGCTGCCAGTCTTTCACCTCAAAGCTTGCATGACTTCAATAAAAGTAAAAATTACAAGTAAAGGGGAGCCTGGGTGGCTTAGTCGGTTCAGCGTCCAACTTCGGCTCAGGTCATGATCTCGCGGTTTGTGGGTTCAAGCCCCGCATCGGGCTCTGTGCTGACAGCTAGCTCAGAGCCTGGAGCCTGTTTCGGGTTCTGTATCTCCCTCTCTGTCTGATCCTCCCCTGCTCATGCTTCTCTCTCTCTCCCTCTCTCAGAAATAAATAAAAAACATTTAAAAAGAAAATTGCAAGTAAAAGTGGAAAGAAAGTGCCAGGTGAGAAATACGATGGAGACTGTGTGGCCGCCTGTGGGCCCGAACAATGGGAAGGTATGTGCAGATTCCTGTACCTCTACCTTGGGAAAGAGATAGAAGATGGCTCTGACGAAGGGAACTTCAAGGGCTGAGGGACTCACAGACAATGACATTCACTGTAAACCCTTCTACGACATTTGAATGCTGTACCATGTGTTCTATATTGACTATTACACAAAATAAGTAAAAACAAAATATTAAAAGACCGCTACCTATATATCCACCTCCCTGGTATTTCACTCATTCAGTAATCAGAGTAGCTGAGACAAGCAGCCTCAGCATTTATTGAGCACCTATTATGTGCCAGGCACTGTGCTAACCTTACAGCCACCCTCTGAAGTACGGTCCTAAGATTCCCATTTGACGGACGACGGGATGAGGTGGGTGCTCAGAGAGGTGAATTAATATGCCCGAGGTGACACAGCAAGTCAGGGCAGAAGCCCAGAACCAGGACCCCCCTCCCCAACCCAGGGTCCCTCTGCTCCTCCTCAGGCTTGCCACAAAGCATGAATAAAGCATTCACCACGTACCATGTGGGAGGGAGGCCGAGTGCCCATTGAATACAAAAGGTATTCAATTCATGCTTCTTGAGGGAGAGATGTTACATAAGGACTATTTTTACAGATACAGAAATTGGGACTCCTAGGACCACGTTCCATGGGGCCAGCAAGGGGCGGAGCTGAGGTCCACACCGACTCTGGGCATCAAGCTGCCAACCATCAGCTCCTCCCCCACCAGCTGACAGCCACCTGCTCAAACGCATCGGAGAACCGACCGTGTACCCAGCTCTCTAAGAGCTTCCCACGAGTGAGCTTGACACAGCACCCCAAGAACCCCATAAGCTGGTACTACTTGTATAGCTGTGGGGAAAGGACCCCAGAAAGGCTGGGAACCACAGGAAGCAGCCCCTGCGAGGAGGGCCCCCCCATCTACAGGTGACACTGCAAGAAACAGGAACTGAGGCTGCAGCCAGTCTTGATCGGGTTACACGTCCTGTCCTACACTTGCCCTGGTCCTTTCCGGAACACACCCACGTGGGCAGGCAGTGGACTCCAGTCCTCAGCTGCAGCCACATGCCTGGGCTGCCCCGGCCTGGCAGCAGCCCCAGCCACCCCCACCCTGGGGACAAAGAAGCCACTGTCGGCCCCTGGGCCCTTCCTGAGGCTTCTTCTCATCCTTCTATTCCTTCTGCCCCCTCGCGTTCTCACCCTGAGCTCCAGGGCGCCAGGGCAGAAAGAAACCCACAAGAAAAAAAATGTGATCGGATTTCATGCCGCAAATACAGGATACAGAATGAGGTGGGAGGACCAGAGTTGGGTGCTTACGTATTTTCTGAGCCCTGGGTCTAAATGCAGCTCCCCCACCACCCCGGGCACAGCACAGGGGCTAAGAACTTGAACTCCAGTGCCCTGTCCTCCTTGCCTGTGCATTCCTGGGTAAGGGACCTCATCTCCTTGTAAACGGAGTTAGTAGGCATCCCTTCCTTTTTTTTCTTTTTTTTTTAAGTGTATTTACTTATTTTTGAGAGAGTGAGAGAGCGTGAGGAGGAGAGGAGCAGAGAGACGGAGATAAGAGCATTCCAAGCAGGCTCCACACCGTCAGCACGCAGCCCAGACACGGGACTCAAACCCATGAACCATGAGATCATGACCTGAGCAGAGATCAAGAGTTGGATCTTTAGGGGCACCTGGGTGGCTTGGTCAGTTGAGCACCTGGCTCTTGGTATGGGTTCGGGTCATGATCTCACTGTTTCGTGGGTCTGAGCCCCACCTTGGGCTCCATGGTGAGAGTGCAGAGGCTACTTGGGATTCTCTGTCTCTCCTCTCTCTCTCTGCCCCTCCCTGATTCACACTGTCTCTGTCCCTCTCAAAATAAATAAGTAAACTTAAAAAAAAAAAAAAAAAGAGTCAGACACTTAACTGACTGAGCCACCCAGGCATCCCTGTTTTTAAAGTTTATTTATTTGTTTTTGAGAAAGAGAGAGAGAGAGAGAGAAAGAGAGAGAGAGAGAGAGAGAGAGAGAGACCACAAGTGGGGGAGGGGCAGAGAGAGAGAGAGAGAGAGAGAGAGAGAATCCCAAGCAGGCTCCATGCTGTCAATACAGAGCCTGACGCGGGACTCAATCCCACAAACTGTTGAGATCATGACCAGAGCAGAAACCAAGAGTCAGACACCCAACCTTCTAAGCCATAGGACTGTGAGAACACTACAAGGCCCGGCCCACAGAAAGGGCCATACAAGCTGTATTAGTTAGCTACCGCTGTGTGACAAATTGCCTCCAAAATTACCAGCTGGCGACATTTATTATCTCATTTTTGGAAGGTCAGGAAGCCAGTGGTAGCTTAGTTGTGTGGTTTGGGTGCCTTATGAGGCTGCAGTCGAGGTACTGGCTTTGGAGCCACGCTGCCTGGGTTCAAATCCTGGCCCCACTACTTCTCCCCCGGTGTGGTCCTGGGCAAGTGACCAAACCATGCTGTGCCTCAGTTTGCTCATCTGTAAAGTGGGGACAAGGGAGTACCCACGTCACAGGGTGGAGCGGGCATGCGGTAAATGTTGGCCATCCCGCCCAACAGCGACAAGGTAGGAGAGTGTACAGAGCCACAGTATCAGGAGAGGGCTCTCTGAGGTGACATTTAAGCTATGGCATGATGTCAATGAATAGCAAGAAAGAGTGATCCAGGCAGAGGGAGCAGCAAGTACAAAGGCCCTGGGGCCGAGCATGTTTAGGAACAGCAAGAAGGCCGGTGTAGCTGGAAGAATGACAAAGGAAAGAAGAGGTTGTGGACACAGTCAGGAACCCCAGGGGGTCTATATTTTAAGGGCAACAAGCAACCATAGGAGGCTGTTGAGTAGGAAAACTCCGCCAAGGGTCCCCCGGGAGGCAACATCATAAGGCATCACCGGGCAAGAGGAGGGCCAGTGTGTGCCAGGCAGAGGGAACCCCAGGGGACACCATGGGGGTGGGGAGTGGGCAGATCTGAGGCGAGATCACTGTGTCCAGCTGAAGGCTGAGTCTCTCTCCTGCAGAGCATGGGGGTGGTGGAGGGTATGGGAACAGAGTGCACACTCAAATCTGCGTGTCAGAAAGATCAAGGGCAGAGGGAGGGGCCAGAGCATGGAGAGGACAGGACGGGTGCTAGAAGGTTCAGAACCCATCAACTGGCAGCAGAACTTTCTCCAGCTCCACGCCATCCCTGCTGCTCACAGAGCCTGTATCTTCACCATTAATGGGTTACTCTCCCTATCTCCCTGAGAGTATCAGCCTGGCAGAGCCACAGCAGGTGCCCAGGCTTTCCCATGTGGGGGCTGTTACTAAGATGTGCTCTGGTGGGAAAGCCCCACGACACCTATTTCACCCCAGGAGGATCCCCCAACAGCTTCTTCAAGCCAGCCCCTCAGCGACACCCCAGAGACCTTCTTCCAAGGATACCTGCATATGGCACCAAAATCCCCTCGTGTGAGATCACAGTCTCCTGAGATTCCCCAAACAAGTCTTGGCATACACAGCAACCTCACAAACCCTGAACCCCCCAAATCCTGCACAGACTCCAAACTCTCAAAGAGACCCCCTGCCACAGAGAAACCGGTAAATTGCCCCGTGGGGACACACACCCTTCAGTAACTCTGAAAGTCCCTTACAGATACCCCAAGAAGCCCCTTCATCCTTCACACCCCGAGAAGGCCCTAAGTAAACCCAAAGTGTCTTGGCAGCCCCCAGAGACCACTGGGTCACCACTGTGGGCCCCTAGGGACCTATCAGAATCCCTGAAGAGCCCCTGGAAGGGGCCCCTGGAGGCCTCTCACAGTCACCAAGTCCCCATAGAGACCCCCAAATACCCACGGCCTCTCAAACAGCCTCAGCTGTCTAGAACCCCGACCAGCCCCCGAAAGAGCCCACCTTCCAGTCCTTGAAGTCTCCAAAGCAGCCTCTAGAAGCCTGAAACCTACTCCTCTCCCTCCAGAGACCCTCAAACTGTCCCCTGCAATTCCCCTCAGTGACCCCCCCCACCCGTCACTCTTTCAGGTCCAGGCCCCGCCCCTGACCCCGCCCTCACCTAAACCTCGCCCCCAGTTTCCAAAACCCCTCTCCCCAACCCCTCAGGACCACTCCCCCCGGCCGCCCCTGCAACCTCCACCGCTGATCACCCCCAGGACGCGCAGCCGGCGGGGGACCAGGCCCCGACTGCACTCACAAGAGGTCCCGCCTCGCGGTCTTGCAGACGATGCGCAGGAAACGCCAGCCGCCGCCGCCCACGTACACGCCGAGCGCCGCCGCTGCGCTCCAGGTCCACGGCAGCCCCAGCAGCCACAGCAGCACCAGCGAGACCACGGAGGCCGAACCTGCACCCGGAGCCCGCATCCTGGGGAGGCGGAGAGCGCTGAGGACGCGGGCCGCTGGGGTCCCGCCCCACATCCAATCGGGCTCCGCCCCCAGGCCCCGGCTCCTCCTCCCCGGGGAGCGCAGGCCACCCCCTTCGACTTAGGCCCCGCCCTCGTGCCTGTAATTGGCCGTGTTCCGGACAGGCTCCGCCCCATCCCATGCGGGGCACTAGCCTCCCGGTTCCTATCCCGCCTCAGGCTTCTTTGCCAATCATTATACAGGCCACGCCCTCAGCTCCTCCACACCGTCAGTCACTATCAAGCCCTGCCCCATGTCTTGACCTAGAGGCTGGACTCTGAACCCAAGCTCCACCCTGACGACCTGGCCCCAAGCGTGGGCTCGACCTTGTCCCTACCACAGAACCAGCCCCTTCCTCATGCCTTGACCTAGCCGTTGTCTCTGGTCCTCAGCTTTCCTCCGAAGTCCCGCTTCTATCCTTACTCCGCTACTCGTTGGGCCCCGTCCCCGGTTAGGCACATGGCTCCGCCCACAAACACGCGCCACGCCCACTCAAAACTAGGCCCCTCCCCTAGTCCCGGGCTTGGCCCGCCCCCAACCCCAGACACAGGTTCCACCCCTGGCCACTGGCTCCGCCCTCAAGCTTTGGCCCAATCGTCACCCTCCCAGGCCCACGCTGGCCCACCTACCACCCTAGGCCCCTCCCCAAATGCCAGCCCAGGCCCGCCCAGGCCCGCCCCAAGGCCCTCTTCCGACCTGTCTTGCTCAGGGCTCCTCAGCCGCTTAGCCAAGGCCCGCCCCTTTCCGGAGGCCACGACCATAGAGAGAGGCCCCTGGCCAGAGAGACGACGGCCAACGAGACCCCGGGGCTAGAACGGCCCAGAGACGACCGCAGCTGTATTCAAGACAACCAAACTGCCCTCCCCCCGCCCGCCCCCACGCGGCATTTAGAAAACACGTGCTCCCACAGCCTAGGGGCGTGGCTTCGGGCTGAGCCTTAGATGGCACAGGGATTCCTACCCCTGGGCACCGGAAAATCCTAGTTCACACTCAGGGCCTGTCCGTACGGGATTCTTGCCCCAGTTTGTCGTAAATCCAAGCACCGTAACCTCTTGGGTGTTAAATACACATTCCAGGGACCCGAAGAGTCCTACACTCCCGGCCTCGGAGACCCAGAAGGTTCTAAACCCATTCTCAGTCTTAATGATCCATTTCCAGGACCCAACTACTCCCGAATCTATATCGCAAAATCTCATTAGTTAAGTCTCAGTGTAACACCCAAGAGCCCAGGGAGGCCAAAACCCACACACCAGGTCCCCAGCCCCCCACACCCAAGGTCCTGAGGGCCCACACGGAGACCCGAAAGCCCCCTTCCTGATCAGGCACGGGCTAGCGCCCGCCTGGCTGCCCACCACCCTGGTCCCTGGCTGACCTGGAGCAGCTCACAGACCCTCAGTCTTGGCCGCTTCCTCGTGGGTTCCCAGGCGCTCAGGCAGGGACGATGAGGTCAAGACAGAGAACTCCAAACCTAGCCCGAGAAGGTGGGCCCTCCAGACCCTCTATTTCTGCAGACTCCTGGGCCCTGCTCTGCCTGCGCTATGCCCATGTAGGCCACTGCCTTGGATCCCTCCCTCCAAGTTCCCCCTCCTCTGCCCCCCTGCCCACCCCAGCCCTGCTTGTTTTCTGCCTTGCTTTGGCCGACCTTCCCAGCACTCTCCTTGGGAGACGGCCAGGGCCAGCTTCCAGCTCATTTGGAGGACAGGGCTGGGCAGGCTCCCACCCCTCCCACAGGCTACCACTGGTCCCTGTGGCGGCCCAGGGTGGGCAGAATGGGGGGCAAGGAGGCAGATCAGGAGGGTAGGCCCAGAGCCAGCCACTGGCCTGCTGCTTCCTTGGCTGGGGATCAACAGAGTCAGCAGGGACCGGTAACTACAGCTGCGCTCTTAACCCGCCGGTAGCGCTATTGTGATCACCCCATTTTACAGGTAAGGAAACTGAGGACTGGAGCTGTCACACTAGCTGGAGTTGAGATTCATTCATTCACAAACGTGGAATGCAGGCTTGCTCTTCCTCCTCTCCCTCCTCCTCCCCTTTCCTCCACTTTCCCCTTTCTTTGTCCCCCCCCTTCTCTTCTGCTCTATCCCTCTCCTCTCTACCCCTCCTCTTTCCTCCTCCCCTGCCCTCCTGGCCTCCCCCTACCCCCTCCTCTTCCTCTTTCTTTCTCTCCCCCTTCCTCCTCCACTTCTCCATCTTACCAAGTTTACTGAGACCTGACTCAACAGTGCCCTTGACAGTCTCTTCCAACTCAGCCCACAGCTCCTGGAGATACTCTTACGGGTCCTCAATCTGAAATCCCCACATCCACAAGGCTCTGGAAACTCAACTTTGTTCTTCAGGCCAGAAGTGCCAGAACTCCAGATTTAAGTGTAGGCAAACAGGGCGAGGGGCACTTGGCATAACTTTCTTAACATAAGAGAAGTCATTGTAGGCCCCCAGCCACTTTGTGAACTGCCCAACCACCTTTCTTGCAGAACGTCCTGGGAAATGTGAAAATCACAGGAAAATTGACCCAGTAGTTAATGATTTTAAAGAACAAAAGGATGTAGGAACAAACAGCCACTACCAGGCCAGGGGAGGGAGCCTAACCGCGTGACCCACCACGCTCTGGAGTGGAGTCTTCGCAGGGTTTAAACCCCTCTGAGCACTCAAACACTGATGACTTTTGCCCCAATTCTCTGCAGCACTCTCCTTTGCCAAGCCCCTTCATGAATATGCATGTGCCCTTAGCTTCAAACTTCCCCAATTTTGTTGTATGGGGAGGGCGGGGCCAGTGTTCTGGGAAACAGCCTCCGAGGTTTCCCTCCTTGTTGCAAGTAAAACCTTTCCTTTCCCCCATCTTGGCTTGGTTGTCTTTTGGCTGGACACCCACCAGGAGAAGAACCACTTCCCCCCTGCGCGGACCCAGCCTGCTTTCACTGCTTTCAGTGGTCAATTACCCCTTTGTATCCCTGTTTAGCCCTTATTTATCCCTTTGCCAAAGGGCTGTCCCCAGAGCCCCAGGGCCATCGCATAATAGACAGCAGCTTGCATCCTCAATTATCTTCTTAAGATACAAAAAACTCCCAGTTCTGAAATACCACCGCTGCCTCCTTTTCCAGATGAAGCGCTGTCTTATTCCCATTTCACAGAAATGGAAACTGAGGCCTGGAGCCCGGGACAGACTCAGATTCTACCCATCTCTAGCTGGTGGCCTTGGACTGGTCACCTCTCCCCTCTGTACCTTGGTTGCCCTCTGGGTGATAACGGCCACCTCCTGGAGCGTTACGCATCAAATATTTCCTGATCACCACTGTGTCCTGGCTGACGCGGGGCTTCGCATCTGCAGAATGAATGGGCCAGGCATATGCTGGGTGTAAGGGCGCAGCCAGCCGTTCATCCCCTTCCCCAGGGTGACCATAGGGCATGCAGGCCACAGCAGAGTGCCTTCTTAGAACTTTCCAGAAGGAGAGAAATGAAGCATACGTTGAAAGTAAAATACTGCAAGGTCATAGCTTGGGGGTTTCATTATAAGTAGAACACGAGCCCCGTGGGGGAGTGAACAATTTCTCTCCACCAAATTCCCGTGCCCACCACAAGGAGGGGTATCCGTTTCTTGTGGCTGCCACAACAAAGTACCACAAACCAGGTGGCTTAAAACAACAGAAATTTATTCTCTCACAGTTCTGGAGGCCCGAAGTCCGAAATCAAAATGCCAACGGCCACACTCCTGGAAATCCTAGGGGAGGATCCACGCATTCCTTGGCTGTGGCCACATCGCTCCAGTCTCTGCCTGTCTTCACGTGGCATCTCCCTCTGTGTCTCCTCTTCAGTCTCTTATAAGGACACTTGCCATTGGATTTAAGACCTACCTCCATAATCTAGGATGATCCCATCTTGAGATTCTTAATTACATCTGCGAAGACCCTTTCTCCAAATAAGGTCACAGTCACAGGTTCTGGGGGTTAAACTTAGATCTCTTTGGGGGGGTCACCACTCTACCCACTACAACAGGATAAAGGGTTAGAGCAGTTAGTTCTCCTGGCGCCTGGGGGGCTCAGTGGGTTAAGCGTCTGACTTCAGCTCAGGGCATGATTTCGCTGCTCATGAGTTCTAGCCCCGCATCAGGCTCTGTGCTGATAGCTCGGAGCCTGGAGCCTGCTTCAGATTCTGTGTCTCCATCTGTCTCTGCCCTCCCCTGCTCATGCTCTATCTCTCACTCTCCCCTGCTCATACTCTCTCTCTCAAAAAAGTAAGTAAATAAACATTAAAAACCAAAAAAGCAGTAGTTCTCAATTGGCCCCTGGGGACACCTGGCAAGGATGCCTGGAGACATTTTTAATTGTCACACTTGGAAGACGGGGTGCTACGGACACCCTAGTGCATCAAGGCAAGGGATTCTGCTAAACGTCCTACACTGCACAGGCCAGCCCCCAGCACAAACAACGATCTAGCCCCAAATGTCAAGGGCACTGTATTTGGGAAATGCTGGGATCGACAAAAGCCCCAATCAAGGTAGACCTGGCCTGTAGCCCCATGCACATCATTCTCTGGGTGACTTGGCTGCAAAAATCAGCTTCCCTGAGGGTCTATGCTTCACCTGTGAAATGGAATAAAATCACGCCAACCTGGTTAGGGCTGTTCCGAGGACAGAAGCCTGGCACCTCACAAGAGTATAGAAGAGTCCCCTGTCATTGAGATCATTTTGCTCTTGGTGCATTTTGCATTCACAACGTGACAGGACTTCCTGGGGTCTGGGGAAAGTGAGGAAGATACGACAGGGGGAAACTGTTTCTAAACAGAACGTGTCAAGGACAGATCAGGAATGAGGCCATTCATGGAGCCTCAACAACCTGAATTACATCTTGAGAATGGAGATTCTGTGACTTCCTTTCTTATTGTTTAAAGTCAATCCTAAGTTTCTTTCGGAGTCTCTCGTGTTTTCCTAGACCTGGAAAAATCCTCTAGACCTGGTGTATCAGTTAGATATTGCTGTGTAACAAACCACTCCAAACTGAAGTGGCTTCATACAACAGGGATCGACTATTTCTCAGGACCCCATAGGTTGCCTGGGCAGCCCCTCTGCTGGACTCACCTGACTCAGTCAATCTGCCACAGTCTGTCGGAGGCCAGCTCCGGCAGGTCCAGGGGTCCCTGAAGGATGGATGGTGTCGGCGAGAGAGAGAATGAGAGAGCCCCGAGATCCTTTCTGATCACCAGGCAGGCATCTCCGTCCTGTTAGTTTTGGTGTGTTTATTTATAGGTCAAATGTTAACATGGCATCAGGAAATGGAATTTTTACAATGGATAGCTCTTTGTGATAAGATGTTTTTGGAAAATGTACAGAAACAGGTTTTACAGAAGTCTTCTTGCAGAACTGCCCCAATTATAGTGAGGGTGAGTAAGAAAATAACAAGGTGTTCACATTGTAATAATGCTAAGATTAAGTCATAGGTTTGTAGATACTCTTTTTTTTTTAATGTTTTATTTATTTCTAGGAGAGAGAGAGAGAGAGAGAGACAGCGACAGCGTGAGCAGGGGAGGGTCAGAGAGAGAGGGAGTCACAGACTGAAACAGGCTCCAGGCTCTGAGCTGGCAGTCAGCACAGAGCCCGACGTGGGGCTCGAACCCACGAACCGCGAGATCATGACCTAAGCAAAAGTCGGACGCTTAACCGACTAAGCCACCCAGGCGCCCCAAGTTTGTAGATACTCTTATCCATCCTCATCACAGCTGCCAGGGTAAGGGAAGGTGTTTGTGGAATGTAGGCCTTAGGGAAGTGGCTGCTATACACCATCAGTTAGCAAAGGTGTATGTAGTAACTTATCTTCTGCCCTTATCTGTTCCTTCTCTCTAAGTTAGGCTCTTTGTCTCCGGGCAAGACTTGATTTTCCAGTTATATTCTTTATGGCACCGGAGAGCCAACCATACCTTTAAAGAGTTTAGCTCATTTCCAATACATAGAATAGCCTCTTCAAGGGCATTTACCTCGTGTCTAGTTTTATGATTTCTTGAATAGCTAGGGTATGAGAGACATTTTTGGTTAGTTGATTTACATGTTGAGCTGTACGAACATCTCTCACTAACGCAATGGTAAAAAACAGAATTGTACATGTAAATGTCAGTCTTTTATGAGTAAGGGTCATTAGCCTGTTTATAGCTCAAGGGAAAGTATGGAGGGAAACAGGACCTTCTGGAGACACGATGTCTGTTCCCATAATCAAAAGAAGTTGTTCCCACAAAAAGTTCATTCACAAGGTGCAATCATCATACCAAGGCAAAAATAAGGGGACAAGTAACTCCCGATATTGATCAACAAGGTACCTTAGGGGTCAGTGCTCAAGCAGAAATAATTGAGTGGGGGTGGATATTGGTCATCATCTGATTGGCAAGAGACCATGCAAACTTGCTTTAACCTCACCAGTTTTCTCGACTAGTGGGCTCAGAATGGCTCCCAACAACAGTTGGCCAGCGTCCGGGCTGGAAAGTCACATGTGTGGCAGTTGGTGC